CAAAGAACAGCGTTGAACTGGGGTACTTCTCCCTGCAACGCCCTGCTGCTGGCTCCCGGCCGGCCGGCCTCGCCCGGCTGCGCGGGCACAGCGGCCTGCGGCGCCAGGCTCGCCTTCTACCAGCTCCCACCACGCGGAAGAGCAATTCGCCACAGGTCGGCGAAAGTCTCAACCTCGTTGGCCAAGCCTAGGTCACATGCCCACCTGTGAGCCAGTCACTGTGCAGGATGGAAGTGTGCGATGCTCTGATTGGCCAACACTAATCTGGGCCCGCCCCGGGGCGGAAGTGAGGGAGAGCGAGTCCCCAGGGGGAAATGGAGACGCAGAAAGGGAGGACGAAGCTGGGCAGGCGGACACAGATGGCCCCGCCCCAAATGCGCATCTGTCCCCCTCTACTCCCCGGGGGAACCAGCAGGGTCGGCACCGCCACCCCGTGCCCAGACGGCCGGGCGCCCGCACCCAGTGGCCCACCCCGGCGGCCTTGCCTTGCAGGCCCAGGTCCGGAAGTTCGGCACCAAACTGCTGCAGCTGCTGGCCGAGTGGACGGAGACCTTCCCGCGGGACTTCCAGGAGGAGTCGGCCATCGGGCACCTGAAGGACGTGGCGGGCCGCATCGCCCCCTGCGACGAGGTGGGCGAACCCGGGCGGGGCCGCTGGCTCTCCGCACGCTCACATCCGGGCCAAGCCGGTTGTGGGGCCCCCTCAGAGCTCTGTCCCCCACGCTGCACACTGCCGCCCTCCAGAGTCAGCCCCTTTCTGACCCGCAGGAAATCAGGCACTGCAGAGCAGGGAGGGGGCCCAGGCCTCGGGCGCAGGCCTGACTCTTCACTGTCACCGGACTGCTCTCGCGGAGGCCTCCGATGGTGGGGGAGGGAGCCCACTGGTGGCTCTTGGTGTGGCTCGGCCTTCGTCCTGGCCTCTTGCCACAGAGACCTCCCTCCTCCTGCCCGGCGCCACGTCCAGGGCTGGGCTGGTGGTCAGTGTTCTGACCTGAGCAAGGACCTGCAAATCAGGGGCAGGAAAAGGGCTCTGCAGGATGAACCAAAGAACAAGAGGGGTGGGGATAAGGACCACTCACTGTCTGGGCAGATTCTCCGGATCCCCTCAGCCCCAAGGGTAAGCTGTAAACCCTGCAGGCTAGGGGAAGAGGCGGGGAGAGGCGCCCCTGCAGCCGAAACCACATGACAGGTAAATGTGGCCCTTGTGCTGGGAGACCCCAGTGGCTGGGAAGCAGCAGGTGTGCCGGGCACGAGGTGCCTCTGTAGCCGGCGCCCACTCTCCTCTCCCGGCTGTTCTGCTCTGGGGAGAGCACTTAAGGGTCTCTGAGCCCCACTTCCCTTATGGGTGAAAGGACGACAAAAATCTTCAGCTCCCAAGGTTATGGCGACAGGTGTCTCCTGGAATATTTAGAAGGGGCAGATTTATCAGCATCCCCGGAATAACGCTGTGGGCAACGTTGGTATTGCATTATCTGGAAAGAGAGAACATGGGTGGGGGCATGTCAGTTGCTTTAGGAAGAAACCGAACATGGCAAGCTGGTACCTACTGATGTGCCCCAAAGTGGGTCTGGACATGGCAGAACCAGCCGCATGTAAGACAAAGGAAGACTGCTAAGGCAGACTGGGCAACAGGAAGCCATAATGCCATCTCAGGATCGGGACACTTGGCTTAGGATACAGCACAGAACAGGGTCAGGGAAGAATTGATTGGATAGATGGGGTCAGGGAGAGTGGGTGCCAGCTGACTGGCTGGGTGGACAGCTGGCTCCTTTTATGGATGGTGTACGGGGGAACAGGTGTTTGGGTAACTGCATAGGCAGGTGGATGTATGGGGTGAGCAGCTGTGCAAAGATTAATGGAAAGGTGGGAGGCAGAAAAGTAGGGAAGGTGGATGGGTACATGGGTGGATGGATGACTAGATGGATGGGAAGGTGAGTGGGTGGGTGGACGTGTGAGTGGGTGGATGTTAGGAAGGAAGGAGGAGGGACCGATGAGTGAATTGCTGGAACCACGGGTAGGTTACCTGTATAGAGGGGAGATAGCCTGTGGGCAGAGAAGAGATGAGTACAAGTGAAAGGTGTATGGTGGGTGGCTGGGTGGGTGGGTAGATGGGTGAGGGGGTGGATGTTAGAAGGATAAAGGATAGATGAGTGAATTGCCGGACCTGTGGGTATAAAGCGGAGGCGTGTGATAGCACGTGTGTGGAGAAGGGATGGGTGTGGGGATGGTAGGTGGGTGGGTGGGGTAGAGGGTATGCAGGGGGTTGAGAGCGCAGGCTCCTGCTTTATCCGTCCTCCTTCCCCCAGGGGGACGCCTCCAGCTCTTCAGCAGCAGTGAGGTCTAAGTCATATGACAAGACAGGATTCTCCTCCCTTATTTGATCTGCCTGGCATTGGCAGAACCGTGTCTGGGTGGTGGGGGATAGGGGTAAGTCCGGAGCTGGTTCCCCTTGGGGAGCCAGTGCCTCTTCACCAACCCTGAGAACCTGTCAGGCCTGTCACCAGGGCTGTGTGCTGTGGACTAGAATAGGAGGCCCCCCACCCCACCCTGGCTCCGGCCTGGGGTGCTCCCTGGTGTCTTCAGTATCCCCAAGTTGCCCTGCCACAAAAAAGCACCCACCCGAAAAGGATGTCCTCTGGGCACTGGCCCTTTACACAGGTTGGTGGCAGGTAGACTGCAGGTTGCTGCCCTCCCACACAGCACAGAGGAGCACAGAACCAGATTGACAAGGTCCAGTCCACAGGACTTAGAGCACCTCAGCCTGCCCCGGTGGAGACTCAGAAACCACAGCGCCGTGACCCTGGGCAAAGGGCTTTGCCACACTGAGCTTCAGATCCCTTATCAGCTAAACAGGGATGGTGACTGTCCCCACTGCACAGCTTTACATCAAGGGGTCCCCAAAATCATGCGTGCTCTTATTTCAGCACTAGATAAACGTGAGCTATAATGAGAAACAAATTATTCCCAGAATTCAGGCACATGGGCACACTTTTTTTAACTTTTATGGAACTTTTATTATGAAACATTTCAAACATGCACAAATGTAAGGAATAGGAACTAGGAACTCCTTTGTGCTCATCACCCAGCTCCAACAATTACCAACTTTTTACTGAACTTGTTTCTTCTATTCCTTCAGTCATTTTCCCCTCCCCACAAATTTGTTGTAAGCCAACCATAGACATTATATCTTTTGCTTCAAAAATACTTCAGCATTATCTTTTAAAAGATTTCTCATACAGAGATGGGATCAAAGGATATAAAGTTCTAGGCACAAGGTAATGAGATGAGCACAGGTGTTTTCAGAGCTGTGTGTCTTTGGGCAAGTTACTTAACTTCTCCAAGCCTTAAATTTCCTTCTGTAAAAGGGAGGTGATAATTCCTCCCTTACAGGGCTATGAGAACAGCAGAGCTTATGGACATAGAGCAGACGCACAGGGCCAGGACTGAGGGGCTCCCTTCTGGACCCTCTGCGGGGGCTTCCTCATCAGAGTCTCTTTCCCACTGCCCCGCTGCCATGTCCTGCCCCTACTCCCCACCACCTCTCAGCAGCTGGGAACAAAACTTGGAGAGGAGCTGAGGAAGCCATTCTCCGTGACTGTGGGTTCAGGGGACTCCCATGGAAGCCTTCCCAGCATCTGACCACTGCATTGGGACGTTCGCTCTGGGCCACCCCGAGCTGGCAGGAGACCCAGGGGTGCGTCATGGCCAGCCCTGCCCTTGAGGGGCTCCCGGTAGGTTGGACTCAGTAGTTACAGCTCAGGGGGGCCAGTGCCAAGGCTGAGAGAGGCTGGGGGAGCGCAGGGAAGACCCAGAGGGTGGCAGTCCCGGGTGTGGGAGAAAGGACAGGAGGACATCAGTGCTCCGGCCACACTGGGCCAGCCTGGGAGGCGGATGACTCGACAGCCCCTCCCCGTGGACTGGTCTTCTCTCCCCTTGCTCTCACGGACTATCTGCTGGACTGACTGCCGCCCTCCAAGGCTCCCTCCGAGGGCAGAGGTGGCAGAACGCTGATGCTGAGGACAAGCTGGCAGAAGGAGCAGAGCCCCAAGCACCTCGCGAGCTCCTGCCTGCTCAGGGTGCGCCAAGCCCAGGAGGATGTCGGCCCTGGCTGGCTCAGGAGGGGGTTTTCAACAAGTTCAGAGAACAGGGGCCAGCACTTGTCTAGCCAGGGACAGGTGGTTCTAGCTGTGAAATGCCCACTCCAAGAGAGCTTGGAGACACCTGGAGAGTCGCGGCCACCACCCAGGCCACACTCGGACGACTTCTGCCCTCACACCCAGCTCTGTGCACGCAGCAGATGGTCAGTGGCAAGAGATGGGAAGACAGCTCCAGACCTCGCAGCCTGCCGGGCACCCTCCCAGCTGCAGTCAGTGGAGAGAGGGCTCCAGCCCGAGGCAGGAGGGGTGAGGTGCTGTGCCACCTGGGCACACCCTGGTGCTCTGTAAACGTGGGTTCACGAAGCAACAGGGAATGCCTGACACTCTCAGTGGTTTAGGTCTCTGCCTGCCCACATTTACCTAGGGGGTCTCCAAGCATCTACCCACAGAGTGTAGAAATCAGGAAATGAGAGGAAGTCAAACAGAAAGGCAAATACCATCCCGCATCAGAGGGGGAGCGGAAGGTTCAGGAAAGAACAGATAAGCTTAAGTTAACACCACTGGAAATATTCCAAATGAGTTAGCAAACAGGAAATAATTAGGAATGAATATTGGTTCAATAAAAACAAGTCCTGCTAAATTACCTACATTAAAAAAAAATAGGGCCATCACATGATTCTACAGGGACAGGCACAGATGCATCGTGGTGCGGCCCCTGCAGTTTGCCCTGCCACCCTCGCGGGAGAGTGTCTGACTGTCGGCAGTGAGACAGTGCTCGTCGCCCACCCAGCAGCTGTTCCTGGGCACCTCCAGTGGGCCAGACCCTGCCCTTTGTGCTGGGACGAGCAAAGAGCAGCCCGCTGTGGTCCGAGCGCAGCGTTTGTGGTCTGCGGAGAGGAGATGCACGTGACTGGAATGGTCTCCCCGATGGCTGTCAAACCATGACGTGGGCACGTGGCGCAGCGGAAGGCTGCGGTGCTCTGAGCACCAGGGGCCTGTCTGGGGAAACGGTGCCTGAGCTTTGGTCCAGCGGCGAAGGGGCACATGCCAAAAGGGAAACCGATGCCCAGGCCCTGCCAGGACATGGGGGAGGCAGGGTGAGAAGGGGTCAAAGGGGTGGAAGAGTGACCTGTGTCCAGAGCACAGTCAGGGAGCAAGGGACACGTTGAGCGTGGCCAGAGCTGACCGTAGGGCCTTAGCGCCACACTGGGGCTTTTGTCTTTGCAAAAGCCATGGAGGTGCCTAAGGAAGAGGGAGCAGTGATCAGATTTGCACCTCGAACAGACCACTCTGTAGCCAGAGTGGAGAGAAGCTGGCCTGGGTGCAGTGGGGCCACTGGGGAGGCCGCTGCAGCCACCAGGGAGACAGCAGTGACCTGGACCGCAGGGACAGTGGTGGAGACTCGTGGAAATAGGAGAAAATGAAATGGAGAGGGTTAGTGAGGCCTGGAGGGGTGTGAGGGAGAGGTGGGGAGGAGGGGCTCCGAGCCCGTGTGCATGAGGCTGGCCCTGGGCAGGGAGAGCAGGACACCTGTGTGCAGCGCAGGGTTCGGGTGCGCCATGTCCTGTGGCTCTGGAGGTCAGACGGGACGCTGCGTGTGTAAACGTGGGCACTGTCCACACGTGGACATCAAATGACACTGTGGACGTGAACCAGAACACCCAGGAACAAGGGAAAGAGTGACAAGAGAGGTCTGGACTGAGACCGGAAGACCAGGACAGAAAGGCAGGCAGGAGGAACCAGGAGGCTGAGGTGGAGGTGGCCAAAGAAGATGCAGCCTGAGAAACGGCCATTGGCTATGGTGACAGTAGGGTCTTATGCGAGTGACACCCAGACGGGGTGGCCAAGGAGTGAGTGGGAGGTGAGGACACGTGTGGCCGGTGCAGCTGCTCGTGGGACTCTGGCTGTGCGGGGGAGAGAGTGGAGGGTGATGCAGGGTGGGGGCTCACAGGGGGCCGACTGTGCCCCCAGGGCTGGCATGGCCGGACCCCACTCCCCATCTCCCCAGAACTCAGATGACAACCTGGGAGGCAGCATGCTGATCACATCTTGGCACGTAGCCTTGCTGAGAGAGGCCGCTCCTTTGGTGGGCAAGAGGCGGAAGAGCCAGACGTCCGGTTACCCACTCGCTGCCCAGCTAGCCCCCAGGCGCCTTCTGGTCTGACCCCACGACATGGGCTTAGGGTTAAGCAGCCTCTTGCCCCTTCCTTGTGTCCTGAGGGCTCTATCGCAGCTGCCTGTGGCTGCTTCACAGAGAAGCACTGCCATAAGGGGCTGGGGAGGAGCCACCTCCATCACAAGAGCGCTGGGCACCGCAGTCCTCGGACAGCAGCAGGACCCCAAGAAACGGTCGAGGCCCCCAGGCCCCCACAGCCAGCATGCCAGAGGCCACACCTGCAGAATGCTGCAGGCTTTGTGTGTTTCAAAAGAGCATGAAGGAAAACTCACCCTATCTTGACTACCTAGCAGTTCTGACTATTCACCACCTGTTACTTTCTAAGGCCTCTGGGCACGAGCTGTCTGGTTGATGGCGCACCATCGCCAGAGGCCTGGCTCCCAGCTGCCCACGCTGCCTCCGCCAGCACCAGGCCAACTCCTTGGCTCCTGGGGGGTCGAATCCACCTCTGGCGGAGACATTTGCTATGAGCTGATGAGCTCGGGCCTGTTCTGTGGGTTGGACCAAAACCCTGGGGGGCGGGGCCTAACTAAGAAACCCACCGAAAAGAAGGCAATTTTCGGAAACAAAAGGCCCCAAAGGGAAAAAACCAAGTTCCCCGGGAAGGGAAAGGGAAAGGCCCCCTGAAGAGGGCCAAGCCCCTCCAACCCCGGAACCCGCCAAGGCAAGGGCCAAAACAAGGAATTGGCCCCCCGGGCCGGCCGGGAAGGGACCGCGCTGGTGTGATAACTTTTTGTGGAGCGCCCACCACGTGCACAGCGCTGGGCTCAGCTAACACGGAGGTCGCAACACGGACCTCCCAGCCCCTGTGCAGCTGTCACTCTAGTGCAGGAGTAAACACACCTGATTGTCTTCACAGTGGTCCCGTAAAAGAAGTCACATGGGATGACCCAGATGAGAACTGCTGGGAGCAGAGGGCAGGTAAGCAGGGCTGGTCAGGGGAGGCCTCTCTGAGCTGGGTCTGGGAGATGGGCCCATCAAAGCCAGACAAAAGGCCAGTCATCCAGGGCAGGGCCTGTTCCCCGTCTCCCTCCTCTGTCCCTTCCTCTGGTGTCCTGGCGGCACCCACCCCACTCTGCCCTGCTGCCCAGAGAGCTGCCCCGCAACACTGTGTCATCCTCCCTCATGTGTGCTCCTCTCAGCTCCCCCCATATCCCTGCATCCTTCTCCCCAATCTGCCCGGGGTTGGGTCCTGTTTCAGGGTGGGGCAGGTCCCCTCCCTTTGGAGCCTGGGAGCCTGCCCTCCTCTGACACTGGAGATTTGGAGATGCGTGTGCGGGCCTGAGTGCGCTCTTCCCACCCCGCCCCCGCCCCCAGGCATACCGGAAGCGGATGCAGCAGCTCCTGCAGGCTCTGCACCAGAGGCTGGCGGCCCTGGGCCAGGGGCCGGAAGGTCTGGTGGGCGCCAACAAGCCCATCTCCTACAGGACCAAGCCGCCAGCCGCCATCCACCGGGAGCTCCTCGGTGTCTGTAGTGACCCCTACACGCTGGCGCAGCAGCTGACGCACGTGGAGCTGGTGAGCAGGCCCGCGCCGCCGTCCCCCCAGACCCGGAGCAGGGAGCAACAGGGAACAACGGCCACCCTCCCCTTCCATCTCACCACCCCTACCTGGTCTCAGCATAACCCAGGGCCTGGGCCTGTCACGCTGGGCCAGCTGGCATCTCCGGAGGACTCCGGGCCCTGGAGCAGTCTCCCAGCACTGGCACAAGGAACTAGAGGGCTGGAGGTGCCTGTCCCTGGTCTGCCTGAGGGTCCGGGCCTGGGAGGGAGGAACTGGGCTCAGCTCTGACGCCACCTGTCGTGTGATCCTCCTAGGACTGGTGCCTTCCCCACCTGGGCCTCAGTTTTCCCATCCAGGACTCACAGACACACTGTGCCCGCCCCAGCTTTCCGTAGCAGCTGCACAAGCCCTTCGTGCTTGCAGAGGAGATGCCCCGGCCTAGCCCTCAGCACACTGGGCTCCTTGTGGGTGCAAGGCCGTGGGCCCGACCCAGAGCGGGGGCTGGGAGCAGGTTTCTTCCTGTTAAACCTTCACCGCCTGTAGCGTCCCTGCTGCTTCCGGGGCAGCGCCTGCGCGCGCTTGCACGCGCTGGCTCACTGGTGTTCCCATCCTCCTGCCGGGTAGGTATCGTTCCCTTTTCACAGATGAGGAAACCAGGGCCACAAAAGGTTACGTGATTTGCTGAAGGGACAGAGCCAGGATTCGATTCTGAGCCCAGTCCCATGCCCTTGGCCACCGGGCCGCCCCCAGGGGAGCAGGTCATTTCGGTACCGGGAGTCGAGCCTGCGCCCCCTGGCGTCTCCCCGCAGGCACTGCTCCCCGACCCCGCGGGCTGGGGAAGGAGGGCTGCCTCCTTCGGACGGCGCTGAGCCCCGCGACAGCCCACAGCAGGGTCTCCGCGCCCCGGCGTGAAGGGCAGGTGCAGAGACCTTCGCGGGGGGCCGGGGACGGGGTGCGTCCGCAGCAGGCGCCCTCCGCAGACCGCCCTTCTCCTCCGTCCCCGCGCAGGAGCGGCTGCGGCACGTCGGGCCTGAGGAGTTCGTCCAGGCTTTCGGGAACAAGGATCGGCTGGCCGGCTCGAAGGTAGAGGGCTGTCCCGGCAGTGACCCCTCATCCCGGGGACTGCCCACTCTGGGGGTCCCGAGAGCATCAGACGGGCTTGGGGGGCCCCCACGCGGCCCGCGCCCCTCCGGCAGCCGCGACGGCCCCTGAACCCCGGGAAGCCTGCGAGGCGGGACGTGCCCGGCGGGTCACCCACCCAGGGAGGGGCGGCCGGAACCGGCTGCGGGCGCGCCTCGGGTCAGGCTGGGTCGGGAGGGGCGGGGGGCGCCTCGGGCTCCGCCGGGCCGCGCGCTCGGGTGCGTTAGGCGGGCGCCGGCGCCCTCGAGCGGCCACGCGGGGAAGCGCGGGCCGTGCGCGCGGCCGGGCAGAGCGAGGGGTCCCGGGCAGCGCGGCCCCGCACACCGGGATCGCGACCCCGCCCGCCCTTCGGGAGCCCAGAGAACCGGTGCCTGGTGCTTTCCAACGGCTAAATCCGAGCCAGAACCGAAGCACTGTGTCTTCTGCCCTCGTAATAAAAGAAGTGCAGACTAAACACGGGATTGCATTTCACCTCTCAGGTAAGCAAAGGTGGGCACGTCGTGCATGTGCAGGGAAAGCGCGCTCTGCACGTCCGACCGGGCGCGGCCACTCTGGAGGGCAGCTTGGCAACGGCATCCGCACTTTAAAGGGCATCCTTGACCCCGGCTTCCCACACCTAAGAATTTCTCCTGCAGATACTCCCAGCCGTGTACGCAAAGACGGACGTGCAAAGATATTTGGGACACACAGAGTCTAAGGCCAAACAGCAGAAGCAGATGACTTTACAATGCATGGGGACTGGATTACAAATTATAATACTTCCACACAGAACGCCGTGCGACTGTTAGAAAGGGCTAAGGCCGACTGTAAGCGTGGAACAATCACCAAGATCATCCAGTCACGGGAAGAGAAAGATGGAGTGAAGAACGGTGGAGTATGGAGGGTGTGACCATCTGTGTAACCAAAAAAGGAGGGTGCAGGACACATACGTGCTCGCACGTGTCGGCGAGCAATCTCTGGGAGCTGCGATTGCTGCGGGAGTTCTGCACAGCTGCGGCTGGGAGGCAGGACCCGGAGGGAGATTTTGCTACTCTTAGAGGGTGGGGTTTTTGTCCGTGCTATTTGTTTGGCCGTTTCCAAGTATTACTTTTTTTATTGTGAAATACATCAAGATTGCACGTGGCATTCACTTACCCACCCTATGGTAGATGAAACGTTTGTGTTTCCAGCTTTTTGCTGGTATAAATATGGCTGCCGTGGGCACTCCTACAGGTGTTTCCTGGTATTCGTGAGTGCACGTTTTCTCTAGGGCATCAATTCTCAAATATTTTGGTCTCGGGGCCCCTTTTACACTCTTAAAGATTATTGAATAGCTGGGTGAGGTGGCACTCACCTGTAATCTGAGCCACTTGGCGGGCTGAGGCGGGAGGATTGCTTCCGCCCAGGAGTTGAAGGTTGCAGTGAGTTGTGATCGTGCTCTGCTCTCTAACCTAGGTGACAGAGCGAGACCCTGCCTCCAAAACAAAAAATCATGGAGGACCCCAACAAACTTTTGGTTATGTGGATTTTTGAAGTGACAGGCTCATTTGCCCATTATCAAGAAAATACCTACCAAATACTGAAGTCCAAATTACGATGGTTTGTCCAGCAGTCCTTCCTTCCAGTAAAAATGATACCCACAGCAGCGGCCAGTTCCGCTCAAAGTCAGTCTAGTGCTTCCTTGCAGACAGCCGGCATCCTGCATGCACGAGAGGCCTTTGTGCGTGTGCCCCGTTGCGTCACATAGAATATGAAGAGGATGTGTACTCAAGGGTTGAGATTTAATGTAATTAAAAAGTTTTGCCTCATTGACATTCTGAACTCATACTCACTGTGTTTTTGCTTGTACTGGGCACCTTTACCTGCCATTGCTTTTGCGCCATCAATGCGAGTCTCGACACAGTGGAAGCGGCAATTACATCCTATTATTATGAAAATAGCTTTGCCCCGTGGACTCCCTGAAAGGGTCCCAGGCCCCGGGAGTCCACGGACAACATGCTGGGAACTGTTACTCTGGGATATGCTTAGGAAGGGGAATCACTGCGTCATGGGGCAGGCACGTGGGCAACATTACCTGCTGTCAGGTAAGGATATACCAGTTTGCACACCTAGCAGGGGTTGTTCTTGCTCCACATCCTCGTAGACACTTGCAATCGTCAGACTTAAATTTCTGTCAGACTGCTAAATGGAGCATCTTTTCATGAGTTTGGGCCCTTCTTGTTTCTCCTCTGTGAGGTGCCTGCCCCTGACTTTTTTGCCTAGTTTTCTATTGCTTTGTTTTTTCTTAAGGATTTTTAAGAATTTTTTGTTCTTGTTGTATTTTAGATATGTATTAAATAATCATTTGCAGTTACATGTACTGCAGAGTTTCTTCTTCTAGGTGGTTGCTTTGCTTTTCATTCTCTTTATGATGTCTTTTGACAAACAGGTGTTCTTAAGCTAAACCTTGTCAAATTCCCTAAACTTTTCCTTTATGGTTTTTTATGCGGAGCTAGGAAATCCTTCCCTACACCCCACTGAGGCCATAAAGATAATCTCCTACGTTTCCTCTGGAAGTTTTAAAGTTTTGCCCTTCACATTTTGATCTGAAATTCATTTCGTGCCTATGGCTTTAGGTGGGGATTCACATTTTTTTTTTCCAGTCGAATAACCAATTGTTTTTGCGCTGTTATGTATTCCTCCCCCTTAGGTGTGCCCTGGCGGACCTGCCGCTCTGTCCACGTCCAGGTAGGTCTGTTCCGGGACACGCCCCTGCTCCACTGGTCCATTTCTCCGTCTGTGTCAAGACACATTGTCTTAATTACTGCAATCTTGTGAGGAGTCTCGGTGTCTGCTAAAGCAAACCCCCAGGTTCTTCTTTAGCAGTG